CAAACAAAATTCACTTATGCAAAAGAAGTCCATTTGCATTTAGTCTATGAATTTGAATTGTTTATTTTATGCCTGGAATTTGAGCTCACTTGATGCAGAGGCTTTATGAGAACAGAGAGGGACATCAACTGTTCAGAGAGCTGTTAAAAATGCAAAACGCATTTGTTGTCCACTGCTTACAATCAGGCAGCTGACGAATCTCCTGGGAGTCACCAGAATGATCCTTTACTCACTCTTTTAACTACCCTCTAGCCTACTGTTGACAATCAACCAGCTGGCTTTTTCAGGTTGCAGGAAAGCCATAGCCTGGCTGCCAAGATGAGACGTTCTTCAAACTGACTATTTCTTTCCATTGAACTTACAACTGTGCCACATATCATAAATGCAGAATATCTAATTTTATGGGGAAATAGAGTGGAAGAGCAGGAATGCAATGAAAGGGAAAAAAGACATTGCTAAGTAAGTTGATTAAAAAGAAACAAAAAACAGCTCAATTCACTGGCATAAAATAGCAACTTGTGAAGAGCAGGGGGAAGCCAACATTAATCAGATACATACATACATGCATACATATGCCTTACAAATATTTCTAATGAGAAGGCATTAGAAACAGCCATGCTGCAATAAACTAAAGGCTTGTCAAATTCAGCACACAGTTTCTGCAGTGGCCAACCAAATGCTTATGGGAAGCCCGAAAGAAGAAAAGGAAAGCTGCAGCACCCACCCACCCGGCTCCCCACAAACTGATCCTGAAAAGCATACAAGTCCTTAGCATGGAGGAAAAAGAACCATCTTATCTCTTATTCTCAAGGGCTAGTCTCTAAGGTATATACTTTACAAGGAAAACAGCATTCCCAGAGGTGCGAAGAGAGAAGCAGCGTGTCCTGGAGAGGACAGCAGCCAAAGTAAGAAGCACTCAGCTGTTTCTGCACTCACTGATTCTCATTTCCAAATGCACCCTGAGGCTCACCATTTTTTCCTGCCCAGCAAAGCTGTGAGATGAAAATGTACAGGCAGGATGACGGAGTGAACTGTCTCTTCCAGCTGTCTGTTTCTCCCTGAAAAATCTGCCTCCCCCACTCCCTGCATTTGCATTCACTGGCAGACTTTGACTTAAGAATTGTGTTTGCCAATTTATTGTGTAGTTAGGTTGTTTTTGTTTTTATATAATTTTACTGTACTTGTTACTGTTTTATTGTTTTAATTCTACGTTATAAGCCGTCCTGAGATGCTGAGGCATTTGGTGACGGCATATAAAAGTTTTAAAGGAAGGAAGGAAGGAAGGAAGGAAGGAAGGAAGGAAGGAAGGAAGGAAGGAAAGGAAGTGCTAGGTCTGAAGAGTGACCAGAAGACACAACACATTCTGTCATGAATTCTGGTAGAGGCAGGTAGTCTGCACAAGCTTTTCAACCAGATTTCCACTGACTACATTCCTGGGTCAAGACTTTCAACCACAGAAACAAAATTTTCTGGAGAAGTTACATGGCTTGTAAAATTCCTTTTGCTTATCTTAACATCTCCAATGCTGGATAAAATTCATGTGAAATTCATGTATCCAGTCATAACAGATCTTCACATAGGCATTGACTGGTATAGGAGGAGGCAGAGAACAGAATTGAGGAGACAATAGCTGAGTTATTCAAAATATTTGTATACTTCCTATTATACACTCCCACACTTCTAGGCAGCTCATAATCACACATGGCAACCCACTGTAACTAACTAGCCATGATGGGTCGGCTTGTCATTTGAACCCTAACCACTTCCCACGGTATGGCTCATCCATGGGCAGTCTGACAACCCACCCATCTTTCCAACCCCACCATTTACCAGTAACAGTCAGCTGGCTTTCAACCCACTAAGCATGTTCAATCCATACTGATTTGTTCTGGGGCTTTTGTCTCCCCCAGTAGAGCATTTTGTCTCCCCCCTTCAGATCGCCTGTGTTTCTGCAAACTTTGGGTTCCCCTGATGCCTGTGAGCATGCCTCTTGTGTGTGGATAGCACTGCTTTGGCTACAGAAGGATCCACACATGGAATATAAGTTTGCTATTAGTATGTATTGGGATGCCAAACCTCTGCCAACCCCTGAGCTGGAAGGGCTAGGAAACCACCAAACCTTCTTAGGTGAAAAAGCAGGACCCAACAGATGATGTGAGGAAGGTGGCACGGCCCTCCACAGAACCCCCTGAGGGTTGGATTGGGACCCCAGGAGGGCCAGTTCTGCCCACCTGGCCTGAGGGTCAACTCCCCCAGTATATTCAACCCCTGGAGTGACTTTTCTGTCACTCAGCCTGGCCATCAGTTTTGCATACCTGTCTGGCTGCAAGGCCCCTTTGGAGACATAACTGGTTGATCTGTACTTCACACAAACTCAGCTTCTTAGGCAGTTATTCCAAACCCTATCATCTACCCAGAGCCACATCCCACAACACACATGCAGCCCTGCTTGACCTCTTTGTTGAAGACTGTCCTCACTTCTCAGCAGCTGCCGCTTTGCTCCCAGCCAATGAAAATTGCTGGGTGCTCCGTTGCTAGCCACCAGCCTCCTGGGAGAGCGGCAATTAGTAGGAGCAATGGATCAGCTAACTCACTGAACTGAACATCGTATGCCATTTTCCCTATGAGATGTTATAAACGGCTCCCGCGTGAAGTTTTCTCATCAACAAGAATCACCAACTGCACAGAAGTAGCAGTCGCAATACTGGTGGTGGTTCTGGGACAGGAACATGCCATCCCAAATTCAAAACTTGCAGAACTGATAAATGCCTCTTGGCTCTGTGAGCCTCCTTAGGTGCCTCAAAAGATTTCTCCTTCCCCATGCCCTTCCCCAACACACACCATTTATGATTGATAAAGAAAGATGCTTCTGAGCACTATTTCAGTAAGAACTGTGGCTTACTATCTCTAGCTGACCCGCTTTTCATTAGAGACCTCATGTTTCACAGAGGCAGGCAGAGAACTGAGAAGCACCACTGCTGCATAAAAAGTAAAGGGGAAATGTGAGGCTTGTGTGCAACAGTTATTTGCAAAGAGAGCGGGATGCCAGTATGCCTTTGCAGGAGCTAACCCTGCCCACTAACTGCAGGCACGTGGAGCATAGCCTCCTACAAACAAAGCCATTGTTGCAGGGAATGGAACAGCCAAGTTCCGACTGTGCTGAGAGAGACTGGTATTTCATTGGCTCTCAGCACGGAGGCGCTTGCTGGAGGAAAGGGGATAACAAAGAGGTCAGAGGATGGTAACATGGGGGCCACTGATAGCCTAAGAAGGAAGGCAACGATCTGATGGCTGATTGGCTTTGAGGGCAGGACACTGTGGCCCACGGAGTGCAGGTTGCTCTCATGTGGGAGCCACTGTGGCGTAGTGGTTAGAGTGCTGAACTTGGCAGGCTATCTAGGAGATCTGGGTTCTAGTCCCTGTCTGACCATGAACCTCACTGGGTCACTCTGGGCCAGTTATTCCCCCTCAGCCTAGCCACCTCACAGGGTTGTTTTTGAGAGGATGAAAATAAAGTGGAGGACTATAAAATCCGTCTTCAGTTCCTTACAAGGTGAAAAAGGTGGCATATAAATGCAGATTGCCATAAGCAATCCTGTCCTTACCAGCTATGTCCCAGACTCTAATTAGTCTGTGCATTTTCTTCTAGGTTTCCACTAGAATTGATTACACTGCCATGCATATATGCATTATCAATTCACTGTGATGGTGAGCAGCATAAGGAAAAACCCCAAGTAACAGATAAATTGGAATCGGCAGAACTTCACGTAATGCGTAATTAAACTTTTGGAATTCACTACCTCAACATGTGGTAGTGATTACTGGCATCAATGTGGCTGTTTGAAAGGGAAGAGTCAGATCAACCCTCCATGAATGAGACTATCAACAGTTGTGTTAGCCACACTAAAGTTTGATGAGATCAGATGCAAGGGGCACCCATTTTGGAGTAGGAAGCATCTCCCAGTCTGACATAGCTTACAGGAAGCATCAATGCTACCATCAAAAGCTGCAAAGTGGGCCTTTGAAGCAACCTTTCTCAGGAGATTTATTGTTACAACCAGGTTTTTTTACATGAATATGAGTCATGCAAGAAAAGAAGTGAAAATAGTTCGTTATGATTCTGTGAAATCCCCCAAACCACTGAGAAAGCTCGGGTTACTAACAAACAGCATCATCGGATGAGCAAAGAGACTCTGAAGTGCAAGTATTCCAAAAACGACTAAGACTCCCTGGATGTGCCAGAATGGAGACTCCTTTACCACCAGTCCTGTGGAACTCTGGTGACCCTTCCCTTTGAATTTAACCTTCCTGCACCAAAAGCGTGGAAGCTGGACATGAAGGTGTCTAAGAGCATGAACATATGCTGGTGGGCTGAAAACATTTTGTCCATGGGAGACCTGCCAGAGGAGTGCGGCCTGCATTGTGCAATCATCATACATTCAGTGGAAATCCCCTGTTCCCCAACATGCAGATCATTCAAGCATGCAAAAGGGAAACTCCCACTCCCCTCCGTTTTATCATATATGTGGCATGCCCTGCACTCTCTTGGAGTACTGCCTGGAAGAAGCCTGCCTTCTGATGTGTTTGGGCTAAGAGCCATAAAACAGTCCCATTTTCTGAATTTTTAAGTAAATCAAGCAGTTGTAGACAGCAAGTATAACAGATTTCAGCTTTCTATCACTTCTGGAAGTACCCCAATCATTTCAAATATCCATAATTTGAATTAGAGTGTTTGCACTATCTGTTTAGCATGTGCAGCTTAGTCCTAAAGCCTAGGTAAATAAGTGCACGATTGCGGCTTTAGAGGCTTTAGTCAGTTAATGTAAAATCAACTTGCAAGAAAGCTGGAGGCTGGGGCATGAAGAATACCCTCTGGCCAGAAGATCTGCCTATCCATTTCCTATGTTTATTTCTACCCTGTTTATGGTTCTTTTTAACACAACTTGAAAGCAATAACTTTATTGCAAAAGAAAGAAAGAAAGAAAGAAAGAAAGACTTACAGCATTCAATGGGGTTCGATGCAACTTGCAGAGAAATTATTCTGCCACTGGATTCAGGGATATGCACACGGAATACCAGCCGCACACGAGTGTTCTTACGGCCAATATCTGTCTCTCCTTTCCTTAGTTCAATGTCTGCATTCCTCAGTTTAAGAATCCCTGCGCAGTCAATGCTGTGGAATAAACAGACAATGCAGTTAAACCCTGTCTGGTGGCATCAATACTCCTATTCTTCAAGTGTATCGGCAATGTAGAAAAGCACGTGCAAGGAAGGAAGACAATATACTCTGTATTGTGTCCTTCCTTGGGCAATTTTATGATGAAGGAAAACCTTATGCAAAAACTTTAAAAAGAAAAAGTTAGGGGAACTTTTTTTCCTTTCCACCCCACTGATTATGCTTACAGGTTCAAGATCACTTTCTCACATGCCATTCTTTAAGGCAAGGCCATAGTTTGGTGGCTGAGCATCGACTTTGCACACAGAAAGTATCAGTTCCCTAAAGTTCTTAGGGATCAGTAATGGAAAAGCTCTTCTGCTTGAGTCCTTGGACTCAGAGCTGCCATTCAGAGTAGACAACACTGGCCTAGATAGATCTGGCAGCATCTTATGTTCCTTAGCACATTCTTAATTTGCTTAATATAGACTAGATACCCCTTAAGATCGACTAAGTCACAGAACATGTTCCAAGAGAGGACTGCTGGGTTCCAATGAAAGCCAATTAAAATGTTCCACTGCATGCAACCCACCCACACAGTGGAAACTGCCTCTTGTATTGCTGCACAATTCCACTGGGATTCCTTATCTTTGCTAAGGGAATATAGCTTGTCAGTGAAGACAGTTGGATCATTCAATTACCCATCTTCCGATGAAACTGCCCACTGCAACTCTACAAGAATATCCCAGTTTCTCTGTCGTGAACCCTCAAGCTCAAACGTGGGGTTCTTTGGATCCAGTTAACAGCTCCCCACTCCTTGCAGTACCAGTGTTGCTGGTCCAAGAAGGGAACTAGAGGCATAGTTCCAATTGTGACATTCACACAAAATCCTATAATCTTCCTGGTGATACCAAAGATACCAATCTGGTGGCACAGGCTGGCAGAAAGACTCTCGGATATGCAGCCTTCCATGATTCGAGGTAACTTGTCACTGAGAAGTACACTGAGTCCCTCCCTGACTTGCAAACCTTACCACAGCCTTCCACCAGGCTGCCCATTACCCTGGGGCCTGAGCAACTGAAAGCATCCTTCAGAACAGGATTTATGTCCCAGAATAATGATTCCTTCAGCTGCACAGGAGGGGTGGGTTTCTCTGAGGATAAGTAATTGTAAGTCTCATGCACTCTAAAAACAAACCATTCAGGCTCTAAAATATAGGTAGGCAACAGATATTTTGGCATATGAGATGTAAGAAACATTCATTTTACTTTGTTTTTGCTCAGGATTTGCCTGGTTCACACCCAGTTATAGTCTGTGGTCAGAATGCACCACATTTCCAAGCTTGCAATGTAACTCAGGGACAAAAAGTTGTGTTGGTCAGCAGGCATACCTTTGAAAAATGCAAGTGGAAAAATGCCTGCTTTTGAAAAAAGCACCCAAATATGGTGGAAGGACGTACACATTTCAAAGATGCACACCACTGGTACACACATTTGGTAAACATCCACAAAAACATGAATGGATTTTAATGCAAAAAGAAAAAAGCCAAGTAAGCAATCTGATAAGCAGTGTTGAATCACGAAGTTAAGCTTCAAAATGGAGTCTGAAGAACTTCAGCACACACATCCTTCACCATCAACTAGGAATGGTGAGATTTGTAGGCCTGTTTTGCCAATGGCAGGGTTTTGGGGTTTTTTTTGGACTGAGAGACAATAACCACACTTGTAAGTAAAGGTTAAATTAGCAAGCTATGAAAAAATGGATAGACTTCTAAACAGCAATACAGAGTTCGTTGCAGAAGGTTCTAAATGCCAGGCATGAGTCCATCAGCTGGCATTTCTTTGAGGGTTTCTTGACAGCAGAACATTAGCATTGTACTCTGTGTCTACTTTGCCTTTATAATCTCTTTTTCATAGTCTTCTACTAAAGCTATTTAATCTTTACCCATAGGAATGCTAGTGGGGATCTCCAAAAAGTACCACTGCTACTGGCAAAACAAGCTGCCCACCTTTGTTCTAACAATAAGGTGTCCCTCTAGTTTTGATTGAGGGGAGAAAATGTGTATCAATATAAGAAATTTGGGAACCACCATACTCTCAGTCAGGTAGTTAATCTGTATTTTCCTAAATGTATTAAAGCAGTTCACTAGTTGATAACAGCTCTAAAAATCCAAGAGCCGTGCTTGATCAGACCAAAGGCATATCTAGGCCACCATTCTGTTTGCACAGAAGTCCATGGGAAGCCAACAAGCAGGACTTGAGTGGAACACAATCTTCCACTCATATTCCCCAGAAACTGAGGAATATGGGCCTATTGCCTCTGTCACCCCGACAGCATAAAGCCATAAGAACCAGTAGCCACTAACAGCCTTATGCTCCTTTGTTTAATCCCATCCATCACTACATCTCTACAGTTTCAGGCAGTGAGTGAGTGGAAGACAGAGACAGAGAGAATGAGAGAGAGTTTTCTGGCACCTGTTATCCAATTCTTTCAACTAGAAAAGCGAGAAGTTGAACCAGAGATGTTTTGTGTGCAGGTGATGTGCTCTAGCAACTGAGCTATGAGCCCATGGTAAGCCAACCTGCATGAACATATTTCACATTAGAGGATTTCCTGTTCAAATGAAATACAGGCACCTTCTGCAAGGGATGTGAAGAACTGAGGTTTTTCTATTAACACTATTGCAAGACGCTTGCTGAGACAGTGCCCTTACGTTGCTTTCATGTTGTTTTTTGGCTCCAGGGGGATTTCCAGCACTTTGGTGTTGCCAAGGATTTTCTCATAGCTTGTGGTGGTGACTGTCTTCCCCGTAATGCGATGGACCTGGTAGAAAGCGTGTGGCTTAAGAATCCGCTCATCCGCCGTCCCAATGAAGATCTGAAGGCCCAGGGGCTTGTTGTCCATGTAACCATGAAGCTGGCGAGAGACCAGATCAGTTATCTCATCCCCATCCTTTCAACCACAAGTAGAGCAGACAAATTAAAATACATGTCTTATCATACAAAGAACAAAACAGGCTTATACATAGTTCTTCAACTTTTGTGATGATATTGTAGGAAAAACCAACAGGAAGCTTTCATAAATAAAAGCTATGGTCTTTTTTTTTCTTTTTTTTTTTAGCATACAGGTCTTCCATTAATGACCAATCCTGAGAAGGCAAGTGAAAATATTTAGGTGCCAAATGCCGCTCATGGTGCGTTAGGAGCGGAGTGGAGCAAATCACTTGGTCTGATCCTAACCTTCAGAAGCTTCGCAACCCATGGGGCATGCCTTAAAGAAATTTATATGATTCATTTGGAACTCTTTTTATTATTGGCTAGAGAAACAGGACTTCGTATAGATTTAAGTATGTTTTTAAGTTATCATAAATGGAAAAAAAATGTGGGGGCTGACCCAGCAGGCCTGATATTTTTGATGATTGATGTTGCTTTTAGTTTTTCTTTGTTTTCAGGATCATAATTTTGAATAAAACTTATTTTTTTTAAAAAAAGAAATTTATATGATTCACAAGCAAGCTGGGAGAGACAATTCTATCTGGCTCCACCTGGTGCCCTCCAAATATGATGGATTACAACCACCATAATCCACAATCTATAAAGACAAGAACACATGCTGCTTTGACATGAAGGAGTTCATGAAATGTCTACATTGTGTACATGTATGTACATGCCTCTTCTCAGATGATGCCTACCATGACACCAGAGTATACCATCTATAAACAGATGATTTTTTAAACTTCAAAATTAGTTTTGTGATATAAATGATGCAGATTTAATGGATTATTCCATTTGTACAATTGATCAGCTTATTTTCTGACAACCAGATGGCTGTCCCACAAAGAGCAGCAAGGTTTTGTGGAGTGAGCCACTGGCTCTCTATGTTTTCATTTCTCCATTTTTATAGCCACAGAGCTTCCTGATTACAGAACCGCAAAGCTAGATAGTAATGGTATATGCACATGAAGAAGATTTTTATAAGTGCTCTGCTCTTCCTTACACCAGCATGGTAAGGTTGCATGAAGACAAGAATCCCCCCATGAATCGCAGCAGTCAGCCATTTTGAAAAGAGAGTCCCAACATGACAGCACCTCAAGTACCCTGCTTCCAAGTCTGTCTCCCTCCAAGTGTTGTAGACTCCACTCAGCTCTAGCCAGCATGGCCAATTCCAGAGCTGTGGTCCAAAACATCTGGAGGACAACAGGTTGAAAAAGTTTGCCCAAAACAGACCTCCTAATAAAATCTGGCTCTTGTCTTGAAGAACGGATTACACTTTTGAGTGAATTGCCATTCAAGTGTCTTCAGGCAACCTTACCATGCTGGTGTAAGGATGAGCTCTCACATCCTTCCTGGCAGAAACGACAATAACAACATGTTACACAGGCAAAGTGTACAAGACCTGCACAAGGATGGACTTCAAAGCTAAAGCAAAGGTCTTAATTTCTTAGGTAAGGCATCAATTAAACATCAAGTCAAAGTCTCTGGCAGTTTACATTGCCAGCTCACAAAGCATTTCCTGCCTATGAATAGCTGGAAATAATCTAGCAGTAAAAGGAATAATCTGCAGTCATGATTATACCAAGTCTTAGTGGGGAGTTGTGGCGCGGATGTATATATCCAGGGAAAGAACGGAAAAAGACTATAAACATTTTTTTTTTAAATTTCATGAAAGAGCTTGGTCTGCAGAACTCCAGCAAAGAGCATGATCCTATGCAAGATTAGACAGGGGAAAGTCTATAATGTTGGTTTAGATTTTAGAGAGCCAGTGTGGTGCAGTGGTTAAGAGCATGGGACTGGGACTCAGGCGATCTGGGTTCTAGTCCCCGCTCAGCCATGGAGCCGACTGGGTGACTTTGGGCCAGTCACAGACTCTCAGCCCAACCTACCTCACAGGGTTGTTGTTGTGGGGATAAGATGGAGAAGGAGAATGATGTAAGCTGCCTTGAGCCCTTTGTAGGAAAAAGGCAGGATATCAATCAATCAATCAATCAATCAATAAAATTTGCACAGGATTGCCCTTTAAGTGAATTAAATCTGGTAGCACATGCAAAGAAAGTGGTGTGGTAATGGCTGCGCATGTTCTAAGGGCAGGTGGCAGGATAAAGAAGAAGAATGTGTGCGAGAAACATCACCATGCAAGCCTTATAGACTGCATTCAGTGTGTGTGTGTGTGTTGAGGACAGGAGACAAGTATTCCAATACCACTGTGGAGTTGTCTTTATTCCAAGTACAGTATTAACAACATACACATCTGAAATATGAAGGCACGCATTTAGGCTATTCCACACTGGAGGTGGTTGTGTGAAACTTGACAAGTAGTTCCAGAAATCTGTAACCAGCACCAACAGCCTGCAGCCATAACCCCTTTCAATAAAATATAATCAAGGGAAGGCCAGAGCACAGTGGTACATTTTTATGGCATTCCTAAAGCTCTGTAATGATGGGACATGGCAGACCCCCAAGGGTAACTTATTCTCCATAAGTTGGAGCAGTACAGAAAAAGCCCTTTCTCATGCAGATGCCCATCTAACTTCTCTCAAATGTTGGCCAATGAGAAAGGTCTTTCTTACTGATCTTAAAGTACGGGCAATCGAATACAGGTGAAGGTGGGCCACCAGTGGAGGAACGTGATGCATCATGACTTGCCCAGGGAGCACCTTTTGATAGCTGCCATTACACCAGTGACTTGGCAGGTCCCATCACCGAACCCTGACCTGAGCCCTTCTTTTGGAAACATTTGCTTCCAAGCCTTGCTGAAAAGCTGATTGATAACACTCAGAACCCCAAGAACTCAAATCCAGGATACCTAATCAACTGCCTCTATTTGAGAGCCTCCTCCTCCTCCAATCCATTTAAACAGTCCAAATTTGTGGCAATAACTGTATCTAGTTGATGTGAATCCCCTTGTTTAACTATGTGCTGTGTAAAGAAGGACTTCCTTTTAACTATCATATTCTCTCCCTTTCCCTCCACTTCCAAGTCTTCATAAAAGAATACCTTATGCCCCTCCTTCAGATGAGACAGAAGGAGCAGAAGAGGTTGTCCATGTTGTACACAAGGGGAAAAAATCAAGGCTCCAAGTGCCCCCTCCCCCCACAAATACATGGTAGTACAGAGGACAGACGATTGTTTCTTATCATGGCTTATAAAGGCCAATCTCACCATGGAGAAATACCATGACTACATTCAGAGAACATGACAGAACAACTATGGTTAAAAGCAAACATGGCTTGTCATGCTGTCTGAACCCAACCATTGTGATAATAGACAGTGACAGCTGTTAAGGTTTTGGAATCGGTGGGCAAATTTCTTGTTTTTACTTGAGTATACCCTGTATAACACACATGTACTGGTTTGGGGGCATGTCTGCATACGTTTGGATAAACAAGGGGATCTCAAACATGCAGAAAACTGAAAATGACTGAGGCCCACCTGCCACAAAATGATGTTGGAGAACCAGAGCTAGTAACAACATGGGGACAGATTGAGGCAAAGTGTGGTATAATCCATTAGCAATTACTGGAATAACATTTTATACTCCTAGTTACTCTCTTCTTGACCATAGCTAAATTCTTTGTCACAACCACCTCTTTGTAGCATGGAATTCCACAATTCCTCAAATTTAGTTCAGACATTGGCTCTGGTGGTATTCTTATCCAGACTTCTCATTCAAGAAGAATTGACTGATTCAGATGCTCTAGATCTGGGTGTGTCTGCAGATGCTTTATGTGCCACTCAGTAAGCTACCTGCCTCTCCTGTTTTAGCTTTAATCCTTTATATTATTTTAAGCTGGTGGTTTTAACTAGGGGAGAAGCATGCTGCAAAGCAAAGTGCTGCCCTGCATTAGGGTTCAACATATTTATCTGGGTTCCAAAGAACATTAGTTTTATTTGGGAGCTCAGACCCACCATTTCTCTCTTATAAAATTTATTTTCTAGAAAATTAGTGGCTTGTGATTGCCCGTGCTCACAACAGTAGCCATTTCATGAATAACTAGGGCTGGATTAGAATTTCATTTCATTTCAGTTTGGTTTTGACATGAATTTACCATCATTCATGAAGTCCTCCATATCTATGTCAAAAAGGGCTTGAGATTCTAAAAATGTGAATATGAGATAACCTGCAATGGACAGATTTGACCATGTGGATGGAGGGCTTTGAGTGCCTTTGAGTGCTAACGTATGCAGGGCCCTTTTCTGTCTAAACATGCATAGGACTTTAAGCCTTAAAAGACTGGAAGTGGTCCTCCTTCAGATGAGTTATTACTGAATTAGGATTGCCACCCATTTTTTCTGACATCATTAACAGCTACATGGCAGGCAGGAACAGCATGCTCCTCTGGGTTTTGGTTAGTGCAAATAGGTAAGAATTTTATCTCAGTTAGCTTTTATGCACATTTGCAAAAATATTCAAAGTCTTCATATCTGGAAGAGAAAGAACTTGCTTTTAAAAAGTAAAGGTGAGAGGAATTTAAATTGACATATTTGCCCATGGGCAAGTCCCTCCACTTTTGAGCACGGCTGTGGCACTCAACATTTCAAATGTGTGTGGAGATCCTGGAAGGTTAAGGACCTTATTCCCTTACCTTTCCACCCTCAAAGACATCTTACCCACCTCCCCATCTGAATCACAGAAGCCTGAATGAAAAGCCAGCCTGAACCTGGAGGCTGAGGCATGAGACAGAAATGTTCCAACTGGAGAACCAAAAGAAAACCAGTATTAATGAGTCAGTGGCTTAGTCTAGGTCCCACAGGAATATTTAACTGGTTAACTGAATGCAATTAAATGTTTAAGCACACTTTTCTTTTTTCTTCTTTGGGGGTGGGGGGCAAATCCCATTTGGTCCAATGGAGGTATCTTGTAGGTAGCTTATCCGTGGCTGTGCCAATCTACCTGGGAGCAGGTGAGCGTCTGGAAAA